CATGGTGGGGGGGTTGTCATTCTCATTCAAATCACCACAACAACAGAAGAGTAACTAAGACACCTCCAATGGTAAATTAGAGCACCTTCCATCACACTTTCTGCATCAGTACTTGCCCTACCTTAACAATGCCCATCATTTGTTATCATCAATGATTTAACATCTGTCTTTCTTTCTAGGGAGCCAGAAGCCACTCTGTTCTGTCTAATCTTACATCATTAGTGCCTAAAATATTGCTGCCATCTAACAGACAGATAATTGTTTATTTATTTAGACAAGGTCTATGTAGTCGTGGAACTCGCTCTGTAGACCAGTAAATCAGGCTGGTCGCAAATTCACAGAGATCATTCTGTTTCTGCCTTCCAAGTGCTAGCTTGGAATTATGTTTTTCTTTGACCTCAGGAACTGAATCTAGGGTCTCACACATGAGAAGCAAGCATCCTACCACTAAGATATATACTCAGCCCTCTTCTTGCTTTTTGGGACAAGAGCTCACTAAGCTTTCCAGGCAGGCTTTGAATTTGTGATCCTCCTGCCTCAGCCTACAAAGAAGCTAATTGCAGGCCCGGCTCCAAAAATTCTTAAACAAATTAAAGATACTACACCTAATAACGCTTCTATGAGGAAGAAATGACCTAGAGAGCCTTTCTTAATAATGTTAACAAATACTTATGAAAGCACACATTCTCAATCATGCATTTTAATAGATGGTTGATCTAGTCTCCCTAATCACAAGGACAATCTCTTGGTTAGACATCAGTTTCTGAAGATAAATAAAGAATAAAGGTCAGTCAGTCAGTTCCCGAGACATAGATAAAGCTGAGGATTAGGAGCTAAGACAATCTCCCTCTCTTTTTGTTTGTTTTGTTGTTGTTTGCTTGCATTTTTGTCACAGGGTGACTAACTTGAAAAGAAACACAGTCACACCCAACAGGCAAGGGTCCTCTCTCATTCTGTCTCACACAAAGTCACCTACAGGATCACATACTCTTCTTCACACAGGCCAGCTCTCAGCCACAGGGATGGGGAGTTCCTCAGCACCTAAGAGCAAGAGACCTGAAGGCTTTACCCTTAGAGGCACAGGACTTCACAGCTTACATGTGAAACTGAATGTGGTGTGTTGTTTCATGTTTCACTAAGACTCATAAGCTGCGGTGGGTTGGCAGTGGGGGTTTGTGAGCAAAGCGATGGGGTTGGCTTTGTACTGGAGAGGACTTGCAGAACATAGGGAGACTGGAGCCTAGAGGACAGCAGAGATAACCCTCCCCCCACTTCCACAGAACAGATCTGTGTATGTTTCATCCCTCCCTCCATGTTCCTCTTCTACTAAGAGTAGAAAACGTTACCGTGCATCTCCATGGAATCGCCATGGCCCAAAGTTGGGTTGCACTCAAAAAGTAGAAGGAGAAGGAAGGAGGAAATGCAGGAGTGGGGAAGAACCCATTGTAAATTAACTGGTAAGTGGGTTAACAATTACATTGTAGTCAGAAAAAAAAAAAAAAAAGGGATATGTGTGTGACAAAGTGAACAGATCTCTAATTATGTTAGTCAGGTATGGTAATTCTCGCTGTAGTCCAGTACTTGGGTGTCTGAGAAGGAGTATTGCTGCACAATTGGTGCCAGCCTGAGTTACACAGTGAAACTTTGTCTAAAAATATCAAAAAAGTGTGCATTGGGTTACAGTTCTACATCTTGTTCGGGGAGATCCCAGATGAGCCATTTAAGCTTTCTAAGGCTTTTCCCATTATCTATAACATAAAGACAATAGCGATGAACCATACCTCAAACGGTAGCTGTGAAGAGTAAATAAGCGGCTCGTGTAAACCACTAAGCAGAGGACCTGGTTCGCAGTCAAATGCTCAGTAAGTAGAAGCAATGATTATTTTGTATCAATTATTAACCTAAAGTAAGCAATTGGACAGGGAGGTTTAGTGGAAGATTAATCTCTCTGTACTAATAATTTCTCATCCAGGGTTAAAATACCAGATCCTTCTTCATCTGTGTTTACCACAAGACTATCATAGAAGCACAAGATTGAGGTATAGGGAGAGCCCCAAATTACCACTAAGCTTCTGAGCTGGTGAAAGGATGTGAGCTGGCGAAATCCTTCCTCCAATGCTCCCACAACCCCTTCCTCCTGCCAGTACAAGCTAAACTGGCCTCTGGGATGGAAAGTCAGTCTCCTAATCCCATCCCCAAGGTTAGCCAACATCCTTCTGGATTTCTATGCAGGGCGCACTCAGAAGAGCTTGGGTAAGTTGAATGTGAACTATGGATATTTCAACCCCCTCTTCCCAAATGCAGAGAAGGGGCGCAAATTTACACGAGAATAATCCTACACTCTCAAGTCCCAAAAAACTAAGTTGGAGACTCACTCTCTAATGTTTTATGAGGAAAGGCAGTAGTATACATCTGTTCCCTTAGCTATAAAATGAGGGATAATAAACTTCATAAAGTTCTCTGTTAAGATAATATGAGCCACTATGTATAAAAGGCGTAAAGCACTCCCTAGTACATCCCAAGCGTTCTACAAGCGTTGGCTAAACTTTACTAGAGATTTTACTTCACACATTTTGTTTGTAATATCTTTTATTCATGTCATATATTTCTCAATCACTAGGCATCAACAATGGCTTTGTCATAGGATATTTCAACCCCAATACCAGTGAGGAAGAAGTTTGGCTGGAGGCATGTGTGTGTGTGTGTGTTTATATATTGGGGGTTGAACCTAGAGCCTCTGTGCATTCTCAGCAAACCTTGGAATGCTGGTGGAGGTAAAAGGAGACTTTCCCCAAAGCCTACTGCTCTCAATTTAATGAAAATCCGAGAGCTTACTCTAAATTGGGAAAATTAAGGAACTTATTATGCCCAGCTCTTGTACACACACACACACACACACACACACACACACACACACAAATTACACTGAGGTAATTGTATTAGTTGGGGCTCTCAAGGAACAGAATTTATAAAATGAAATATATATGTATATATACATACATACATACATACATACATACATATTATATAGCTTACAGGCTGGGATCCAGCTAGTATGACAAACAAACAATGGCTGCCTACCAACGGAAGGTACACACATCTGGTAGTTGTTGAAGCCTGGATGTCTCAGCTGTTCTTCAGTATATGCCGGAATCCAGAAGTATAGGCCCTAATGCCAGTGAAGAAACAGACTTGTCAACGAGAGCAAGCTTCCTTCTTCCATGTCCTTTATACCGGCTGCCAGAAGAAAGTGTAACCCAGGTAGGGTTTTCTTGCCCCAAAAAGTGCTTCTTCTCACCTCAAATTATTTAATTAAGAAAATAAATCCCTCAAAGGTGTGCTGTCACTTTTGTTTTAATTATTTCCAGATGTGGTCAAGTTGACAACCAAGAACAGCCATCACATTAACTGTAAGGACAGGTTTGGAGAAAGAATCCCCCAAACATTTCCGTTCCATCGTGTCTTCACATACATCAAATGGACAAGCCCACCCCCGCTTCAGCCACAAAAGCGGTGATATAAAAATTAATTCCATAACAAGTACTTAAGCTTCTGCTATGCCAAGCATTTGTGGGCTCTGGAGGTATCAGAACATCAGGCCAGCTTGACCAGAGACAGCATAAACAAGAGAGCAAACTTCAGACAGTGGAGACACGACAGGCAGGAAAAAGCTAACTCCTTGACTGGGTGAATTAGAAAGATCGCTTCATGGGCCCAGAGTGAAAATGAGCAGCGGTTAACTTAAAGTATTAAGAAGAAAAGCGAAAAAGCAGAAAAAACCACAAGCCTGGGATTCTAAAGCCTGAGGGAAAACCCCAACAGACTTCTACCAAATCCGCAGCAACGCGGAAGGCAAGGACGCCGCCCTGAGTACCGGAAGAGCCAGTGCCCAGTACACATAATAAACTGGACCGAGCAGCTTCAGCCGTACATGACTGCATTCGTCGACACAGGTTTAGGTGTGACCCGGAGGCCTCTTACCGCCAAAGTAATCAAGTCATCCCGCTTTAGGTCGATAAATAAAATAAAGATCCCGAACACAACAGTCTAGGACACAGAAGAAACCAGGTCGAGCATAAGAACGCTAAGCTAAATGGGGTGCAAGGAGCTCTACAGCCAAAGCAGCTCAGGAACCTCAAAACTACAAATGTTGAAAACTGAAGCGCACACTCTCCAAGATCCTTAAAGTAACTTTGGGATAGGAACCGGAAACTAATGCAAGTGGATAAAACTTCCCTATTTAACTGGGTACCTCTGCAAGAACCTTAAGGGGGCAAAGGGGCCTGACAGCGCCTCATCCAGGCTGGCCTCTACTTGGCGCTGGTGTACTTGGTGACCGCCTTGGTGCCCTCCGACACAGCGTGTTTAGCCAGTTCCCCTGGCAGCAGCAGGCGCACAGCTGTCTGGATCTCCCGCGAAGTGATGGTAGAACGCTTGTTGTAATGTGCCAGGCGCGAAGCCTCGCCTGCGATGCGCTCGAAGATGTCATTGACAAATATGAGTTCATGATGCCCATGGCTTTGGAAGAGATGCCCGTGTCGGGGTGCACTTGCTTCAGTACCTTGTACACGTAGATGGAATAGCTCTCCTTGCGGCTGCGCTTTCGCTTCTTTCCATCTTTCTTTTGAGCATTGGCGACAGCCTTTTTGGAGCCCTTCTTGGGAGCCGGGGTGGATTTAGCCGGCTCAGGCATTATTAAAACACAAGGCGGCCTAGTATGTGGGAAAACAAACTGGAAGCCGAAGGACCTGAGTTTTTCATAACCATCTTATGTAAATTAGGCCTCAAAATACTTTTCATTTCCATTGGCTCATACATGAAACTTGCGTTTTCAGTACGTAACAAAGACTCTAAATTTCAGATTTCATTGGACTTCTCTGAGGCCAAATCACGACCAATGAAAAGCTGGTTCCTGACCCCACCCCTAAGAGACCTTATAAAGGCCTTAGAGACTTTACAACCTAGTTTAGTATTAAAGTCTACAAGCACTGGTTTTACTGTAAAGTCATGTCTGGCCGCGGTAAGCAAGGAGGCAAGGCCCGCGCCAAGGCCAAGTCGCGGTCGTCGCGCGCCGGCCTGCAGTTCCCGGTGGGGCGTGTGCACCGGCTGCTGCGCAAGGGCAACTACGCGGAGCGCGTGGGCGCCGGCGCGCCGGTGTACATGGCGGCCGTGCTGGAGTACCTGACGGCCGAGATCCTGGAGCTGGCGGGCAACGCGGCCCGCGACAACAAGAAGACGCGCATCATCCCGCGCCACCTGCAGCTGGCCATCCGCAACGACGAGGAGCTCAACAAGCTGTTGGGCAAAGTGACCATCGCGCAGGGCGGTGTCCTGCCCAACATCCAGGCCGTGCTGCTGCCCAAGAAGACCGAGAGCCACAAGGTTAAGAGCAAGTGAAAACTGATGTCAATTCAAAAAGGCTCTTTTCAGAGCCACCAAGTCTCCATAAAAAGAGCAAGTGTGCTAGTTCGTGATCAGCTCCTTAGTTGACTGTTTGGTGGCTCTTAAAAGAGCCTTTTTGGATGGGAAGCGGTAATGAATTACTTGTTCTTGCCGGGCTTATGGCTCTCCGTTTTCTTGGGCAATAAGACAGCCTGGATATTGGGCAGGACGCCGCCCTGCGCGATGGTGACGCCTCCTAGTAACTTGTTAAGCTCCTCATCGTTCCTCACGGCCAGCTGCAGGTGGCGCGGGATGATGCGCGTCTTCTTGTTGTCGCGGGCCGCGTTGCCCGCCAGCTCCAGGATCTCGGCCGTCAGGTACTCCAGCACGGCCGCCATGTACACCGGCGCGCCGGCGCCCACGCGCTCCGCGTAGTTGCCCTTGCGCAGCAGCCGGTGCACACGCCCCACCGGGAACTGCAGGCCGGCGCGCGACGACCGCGACTTGGCCTTGGCGCGGGCCTTGCCTCCTTGCTTACCGCGGCCAGACATTATGGCGGAATAAGCAATAACTGCTGCTTTTTCCAAGCAAAGGATATGGAAAGGTGAAGCAATTTGGTGTAATTTATAAGAGCTGTCGGGAGGGGGTGAAGGAACAGTAGTTTGATTGGCTGAAAGCGGAGCTGCCTCAAACAGCCAATGGGAGAGCAGAAGCTAGATCGAAGATTTACATCCTGCAGTACCGGAAATGACGAGTTTTTCTTTTTAATTTACCAATCGATGAGCGCCACATTAAAGCTCCCTGTTTACACCCCAGGGAATTTAAAGGCAGAAGATTTTCGCAGAGCTGTTTATTTTAGTATGGTAACTTATAGGGGTTTGTTTGGTTTGCCCAGTTCAGAACTGGAAAATCCAAAAAGACCCACACTCATCCCAAAAGCACAAGAAGACAGCCACTCCCCTCAAGAGTATTGGATTTTCCCCTGGAGCTTTAAATTACCCTTTAACCTTTCCTGTGTCTCTTAGGCAGGCTCCGTGAAGGAACTAATGAAGTTGCCTCCCTTAGCTTTGTCGTTCGCCCAATCCCCACCTCTGCTCTATTGAATCCTTTGACCAAGGATTAGATGAGATGCCATTCTCCCATTTGACCTCTATGAGGCGCTTGTCGCCACCTTACTTGTTCCGCTGCTTTCAAGATGTCTTCCTCTTTTGATCTCTGATTTTCTTTACCCTGCTCCTGTTCTCTTCCCACTTCTAAATCCACGACTTTAGCCGATATATCCTATCCCAGCTCTTCACTCTAGAAGGGTTACAAGCTTCCAGCTAATTCAGACTCGTTTCTCTATCTCAGACTGCTGTATCAATGCTTACCAGACATTTAACTCGTTTGCTCAGCAAGCACCTTGTAGGCTTTGAACGTGAATTCCGTATTCCTTTGCCCTCTCCCAGGAACTGCGCCCACAAACTTTCAGAATCTGATCTTGCCTTTGTCATTTACTTCTTAACGTCAAGCCGCCTTTGTCCACTTTGCATTCCTCCCTAAGATTCCAGCTACAGCCCTGAACGAATAGCTTTGTCTGCAGACTCTAGGCTTGAATGATCCTCTCCTATTCTCGCCTATAACCCCTACGCCCTCTACACCAGCACATTCCCTTTAAAACTCTTTCTGGAAACCCTGTTTCTTCCTTCCTAGTGGTTCATCCGACCTCCTACCCAGCAAAACTTTCTCCCTTTCCTTGGTAATCCTGGGTTGGCACTACGCTTATAAATAAAACAATAGAGTTCAAGTCTACCCTTTTAGAGTTCTTCCAATATTCTTTCTCATCCCCATTTCTTCTGGGGTTTAGTTTTTATTTTATGTGTATAGGTGTTTTATCTACGCCTGGTGCCAGTGGTAGGCAAGGCCTCAAATTTCCTGTAACTAGATTTGCAGACAACTGTTAGCCACTTTGTGGGTGATTAGAATCGAACCTAGGTCGTCTGGAAGATTAGCCAGTGCTCTCAATGATTGTTGCACCGTTTCTACAGCCAGCTCCTCAACTGACATTGATTGAATGTGGGCCACTGGCTAATGCACAATACAGGTCATTAACAATAGTACAAATGATGAAATGTCTAGAAATGGCAGAAGGTTAGTGAATTAATGTTAGCCATATGCAGAAATTAATCCTGGGGAAGATGCCGTGACACACTTGGGGAATCCAAATCCAATCATAGGGCATGAGGTCACAAGTCTAACCCCAGCATTTAGAAGGCTGAGGTATGAAGATTGCCAGGAGTTCAAGACTAGCCTGGGCTACACAAAATTTAAAAAAAAAAAAAAAAAAGTCAATAAAAGTGTTTCCTCAGTAAGTGAAATGTAACATGATTCAGAAAATAATTCTAGCCCTTTTTTGATTATTTCATTTTAGAAAGTGAATGAGTTTACAGAAAGGTATGATTCACAGGGATCACAGGTGGCATTTATGATGGGCATATGTTATGTTTCGCCAACATACTGGAGAGAGAGAGAGAGAGAGAGAGAGAGAGAGAGAGAGAGAGAGAGCATACTTGCTGTTCTTGCAGAATTGAGTTCAGTTCTAAGCACCCTCATGGTGGCTCACATCAGGGAACACACACACTCTTCTGACTTCCAGCACCAAGAAATACGTGCAGGCAGACAAAACACTCCCACACACAAAACTGATCACTGCAGTGGTGGTGCAGACCTTTAATCCCAGCACTTGGGAGAGGCAGAGGCAGGTGGATCTCAGGGCAAGTTCGGGGACAATCTGGGCTATACAGAGAAACCCTGTCTGGGGATGGGATGCCAAAAGGAGGTTGAGAAAGGAGAACCTGTTACGGGAAATGTATCTAATGCTGGCTATACTTTCATTCTAAGCTGTTATCAAATTTCCAGATATTTTGTTAACCCTTCCACTATGCAAGTTCTAATGGTGTCAACTTTTGAGACATTTGGGGCTGAGGACAACTCTCTCCCACATAACAGGCAACACCTACACACAGCCCTCATACCTTATAAGGCCATGCTTGGAGGGCCGGTGAATCTCTGGATTTCATAACCTGTGTTATGAAAAAGGCTGCTGAACCCGACAAGCCCTGTGCTAGAGGCTACCTACAAAATGGATAATAGTTTTCTGTTCACAGATTAAAAAAAAAGGGGGGGGGGCTCAGGAGCACCTATTGAAGGTCACGTAGTCACTCACCCAAATTATTCATACTTAAAGAATATACTCTTATGCTCTTTATGGCTTCATTCATGATCTTTCACTAACTAGATATTGGGCATAATGAAGTTGTATTATAGCTTGGATAGAAAAGTATCCTGGCGGCTGAGAGCCAAGGAATACCACAAAGACACACCACACAACAAACCTCACACAGGAGATTTATTGGGAGAGGAAAAGACAGAAGGGTGGTTCCCTCTGCTTGGGTCAGAAACAGCAGCAAACTGAACAGGATACAGGGCTTATATAGTTCTTGGGAAGGGGGTGAATTTTTCAGGGTAGAGTTTTCTAGGGTGGCAATTGACAGGATTTCATGTTCAGAGACTGGACTTTTTATTCTGTAGGATATAGCAGTTAGGGCAGTTAGAGTATTCTGTGGGTGGAACCTGGCAGTCAGAAGCCCTGGGGAAGGGGCTTGGCCACTCATGTGTCTTGAGGGCTTACAGAAGTCACTTGTCTGCCATTACTTCCTCCTCTAAAAAAGATAATTATTTTGAGACTTTGTTAGATAGGTCTACACGGGCCAGTATGTATCAGGCTTCATTGTTGTCTGTTTCTCCCCAGAACTCAATCCCAGCATTTTAACCAGAGCCTTCCTAGAACAAACAGAGCAGGCCATTTGCAAAGTGCACATCATCACTAACAGGCTGCCTGCTGCTTCCTTTCATACCTCTGGGATTATTTGCCAAAGGCAGTTGAGTTCCTTCCCAGACAATTTAATTAAGCAAACATGTATTTTGTGCTCTACCTTTAATCCAACCAGAGCCCCATCCCTTTCCTCCCTCCCCCTTCCAGCCCTCCCCCCCCTTCCTTGCTCTCTGCCCCTGAACCTTCACTTGCCTGACTGGTATGCTTGTTTCATCTTCTCTTGGCCCTGCAAGTTCTCACCTTTCCAGTTTCAGCCCCACATCCTTCATGAGGTTTTCCCACTTCCACCCGGTGTCCACGTTGCTCTGTTTGCACCCTGTGACAGCATTTGCCCCCTACCTTTTTTTAATGTTTATTTCATCCCCCATATCTAACAATAGTTAGTGATTCCTTCTACCTGGCTTATATAAATTAATTAAACAATACTTTTAGAGAATTCATGGTTTTTCTCTTACAGTATTTGTTTTTACTTCACAAAACTTTCCAAATGCCACCAAATGCTGGAATGTTGCTCTGCTGACAGAATGCTTGCCTAGCATGCACAAGGCACTGAGTTGGATCTCCAGCACCCCATAGAAAGGGCATCTGGTTCATCCCTGTAATCCTAGCAAATTAGGAGGTGGCAGCAGAAGGATCAGAACTTCATGGCTATCCTTGGCTACAAAGCAAGTTTGAAGCCAACCTGGGATAGATGAGACTCTTGCCTCTAAAAAGAAGTGGGGGTGGGGGTGATGAGAGTTATCCTGCCCTAAAAATCTGTAAGTATTTTAGGCCACTAGAGGAGAGACATTTTCTTCAGTTCTGGAGCTATAAACATTTACAAAAGAAAGATTTAAATAATGGTTACCTATTGACTGGCAGTATTATTGACTTCCTGGGTGCCTTCTGAAGCACTGGAAATTTCCTGTCTCTTCATATGGGTACACTCCTGGAAAACTAAGCTGAGCAGTTAAGATTCCTAAATTTTGTATGTGTCAATCTTACCTCAATGAACACAAAAGTTAGTGAACACATAACAAAGTGATGTCACATCATGGGGGGACAGTGAGTGGCTTGTTGGGCACCCTAACCCATGTTACAGGTGTTTGCTGTGTGTTGTGGCCACACAAAGAGGCCACCATAATTTCTCAGTACCTAATGCCTCAAAAAAATCTTGATATGCCCAAGACAGACCCCTCAGCAAATAAGAGATATTATTGCAACAGTGATGTCTATCGAAAACAAAGACAATAAGCTTACTGTATAAGCTGATATTTAATTTTTTTCTTTTAAAGGGAATGAATAAACAAATAAAATAGCAATTTTTACTTACCAAGTTCTGTCCATTTATGTGTATGTGGTACTATGAGTAGCTAAGGATGCATATTTAGACATATTTGCTACAGCTTTCTTTATGTCTCTAACTTACCTTTGTATGCTTTTTTACTAATTCGTTTTTATTGAATGGCCATTATACATTTATAGTCATTCTAAAGTTAAGTTTACCTTTTCAAATGCTAAAATCATCCAGTATCTTAAGCCTTCAAACAAGAAAAACACTGTCGAAGCCCCACAAAATTTCCTTTGCAAATGTAGTAATAATTAATGTTGGCTGTTTGGTTGTTAATACAAGTCTTACCATATTGCCCAGTCTTACCTTAGCCTTTCCTACTCATTAGAATTACAGGCATGTGCCACCATATTTCATCTAGTACCTCA